TCTGGTAAAAGTTTATAGGGCTTTATTACCATTATTACCAATATATTATGTTCAAAAGTGTATGATTGCACAGAACAAAATGTTTATTACTTTAATAACTTTTAAAAGAATATACATTTGTAAGAAGTTGATTATTTGGTGTCTTCCTGATATTCCTACATTTTAAAAATATGTATTCCTTCAATTCCTACAAACAAAGTGCAATAGCTGTTGTTTCAACAATTTAGATTTAATTGATTTACAGGTAAATAAGTGCAAAAGAAGTGCACCTTTTTACATATTTATGAAGAATTAGGAAGATTAACGCTACAAAAGTATTTTAACATTTTCATAATATTTTCAAACTGCACATTGACGAAAACTCCAGCAGTTTTATGGATATTTACCTGAAGTTAATTAGCTTTATGTTTTTACAACCTAATCCTATTTAATCCCTTATTAATTCAAGTATTCCTCTTATTCTTACATGGATTTCTTACAAATGACATACCAGGTTTTAAAATGTAGGAATAGCAGGAATAAACCGATTATTTGATATTTTAAAACATATTTGCGTAGTGTTATCAAAAGTGCAAACAACCATGATTCAATAGGACACTGACAGTGCTCTATACATTTTGTATATACAGTGTATAAGCTGGTTTTTAGTTACTTCATTTAGTGCTTTGATGTGAACATATGTATTGTATTTAATGGTGATGACTTAGTGTGGTGCTCCTTACTGAATGGAGGAAAGTATGAAGAAAGTACATCTTGGCTATATTTGTTTTGATAATATACATTATAAGAGGACAAGTATTATATATACCCCTAAATGTGTTAGCCCAATGGGGTATATCTAATTTACATTACAAGAGGACAAGTATATATGCCCCTAAATGTGTTTGCCCATTGTAGTATATCAAATTTACAATATAGTGTTATGGTTGATACAAAATTATGAAGCTTTCAATAATGAAGAAGGGGGGTTTTGATGTATTAAACTTATTTTAAGACAAAGCATGATAAATCCAGGATATCCAAATACAAAAATAACATTAATTAAGTGACAATATAGATTAGTGTAAATAACATTTCATAATGTGTAAAAATACTACCAGTAGTTGATGGCTGTTGATTACTTAGAAAACTATTTCAAAATATATAAAGAACATTTACATATTGTGAACAATGTAGTTGTCAAGTCATAATCATCATAAATTTAATTAAAGAATGTTTGTTGTGATAAAAATAGACATTTGAAGGTAACTGGGTTCAAGGTGTGCCTTAAAGATATTATCTTACTTTTAAATCCTGAATTATTGACAAAATGCAAGACAAATTTCATGCTATAGTTGAGAAAGACAATAGTAGTAGGACTATTATTAACAACAGTTCATATATAAATTCCATGATATCTGGCTGATTTAACAATAATGATTGAAATCTTTAGCATAAAATTCTAATTATAGATTATCATTATACTGCCGCATGCTTTACAATATTGTTTAACTTATTCTATAAACAGTTCTTCCTAACCAAAATATTTTTAGAATAAAACAGAACCAGAGTTTAATGTTATTTAAACCTTTTAACATTGTTTTGATTCAAAAGTAATTATAAAAAAAACAAAGCTAAACAATGCCATAAAATGTTAAGATTTTATAGGATTATTGAAAGAAGCTAAATGAAGAAAAAAAATGCAAGACCACATTACAAATTTTATAAACATACCTTCAGGTTGAAAAATAAAATCAGGTAAAACAATGTAATATCAACAACAATTTTGGTGATGCAATGGCTCTAAGATAGAAATGATGATCACAAGACAAATCAAAGCACGAAAGCGCTGTAAAGGCAGTTAATTACAGGTTGTGTGTATTTTAAGTCCAGTTATATCATTATCTTACATAGTACAGGTGGCTTTCAGTATTTAAGATTTAGAGTTCTCTAATGATATTGAATAAGTTTTATGAATGTCATATTCTGAGCACTATATGAAGGCGATTGTTCTCACTTGTTTATGAACTAGTGCATTATGTCCAGTTTGTACCTTTTTTATCTATGTTTATAGTCAAATTAGTTATCAAAGGTACCAGGATTATAATTTAATACGCCAGACGTGTGTTTCGTCTACATAAGACTCATCAGTGACGTTCAGATCAAAATAGTAACAAAGCCAAACAAGTACAAAGTTGAAGAGCATTGAGGACCCAAAATTACAAAAAGTTGTGCCAAATACGGCTAAGGTAATCTATTCCTTGGATAAGAAAATCCTTAGTTTTTTCATTGGCAATCATAACACATCTCCTTATTTATATAATGATCTATATTCAACGACCTCAGGTACAAAAAAAATGTATGTAACTAAACTATGATGGGAAACCTTTGACTTCTTTCTTTATATAAACTTTTGATTTGGTACCATAGAACTATGTAGAGTAAATGTACATTGCAACATGTCAACTCTTTCAACTCCAAGCAAAATTATATTTCCAAGCATAAAGTAATTTATGAATGAAATAAAATGCTCCGCTGGGGCGCAGCTTGATACGACCGCAGAGGTCGAACCCTGAACAGTTGGGGCAAGTATGAACACAACATTCAAGCTTGATTCAGCACTGAATTTGGATTGTAATTAAATATTTGACACAGCATAGGTTTCTGACACAGAATGAAAGTGGTCTAAGATACTTAAAAAAATTTAATTTACCTATTCAAACCATATCATTATTATTTGCTTTTATATATAAATCAGAAATAACCAATTTAAAATGGAAAATTTTAAAGAAAAAAAAGGAAAAAGAATCCCCCCCCCCCAAATTTTTTGAACCCCCTTATGATTCATCACCCCAAAACTCAATCCCAGCCTTCCCTTTGTGGTATGGTACCTTGCAGTACAATTTCAGAGAGATCCATACACTTGAACACAAGTTATTGTCTGGAAACTAGAAAAATGCTTGTTTTTTGGCCCCTTTTTGGTCCCAAATTCCTAAACGTTTAGGGCAATTACCCCCAAACTCAAACCCAGCTTTCCCTTTGTGATATGGAACCTTGTAGTACAATTTGATAAAGATCCATACACTTACACACAAGTTATTGCCATGAAACTAGAAAAATGCTTGTTTTTTGCCCCTTTTTGGCCCCTAATTCCTAAAATTTGGAGGCAATTACCCCCAAAATCAATCCCAGCATTCCCTTTGTGATATGGAACCATGTGATACAATGTCAGAGAGATCCATAGACTTACACACAAGTTATTGTCAAGAAACTAGAAAAATGCTTGTTTTTTGCCCCTTTTTGGCCCCTAATTCCTAAAATTTGGAGGCAATTACCCCCAAAATCAATCTCAGCATTCCCTTTGTGGTATGGTACCTTGCAGTACAATTTCAGAGAGATCCATACACTTGAACACAAGTTATTGTCTGGAAACTAGAAAAATGCTTATTTTTGGCCCCTTATTCCTAAACTTTTTGGGCAATTACCTCCAAACTCAATTCCAGCTTTCCCTTTGTGATATGGAACCTTGTAGTACAATTTCATAAAGATCCATACACTTACACACAAGTTATTGCCATGAAACTAGAAAAATGCTTGTTTTGTGCCCCTTTTTGGCCCCTAATTCCTAAAATTTGGAGGCAATTACCCCCAAATTCAATCCCAGCATTCCCTTTGTGATATGGAACCTTGTGATACAATGTCAGAGAGATCCATAGACTTGCACACAAGTTATTGTCATGAAACTAGAAAAATGCTTGTTTTTTGCCCCTTTTTGGCCCCTAATTCCTAAAATTTGGAGGCAATTACCCCCAAAAATCAATCCCAGCATTCCCTTTGTGATATGGAACCTTGTGGTACAATGTCAGAGAGATCCATACACTTACACACAAGTTATGTCTGGAAGTTACAAAAATGCTTATTTTTGGCCCCTAATTCCTTAACTGTTGGTACCATAACCCCCAAAATCAATCCCCACTTTCCTTTTGTGGTATTGAACCTTATTTTAAAATTTCATTGAGATCCATTCACTTAAACTAAAGTTAGAGTGCGAAAACTAATGTGTCTTCGGACGACGACGACGACGCCAACGTCATACCAATATACGACCACAAAAATTTTTTTGCGGTCGTATAAAAAGGAGTTCTTAATTAAGAAATAAACTGATTCGCTGAGCAGAGCTGGATACACCCGCAGAGGTACTACCCTGAACAGCTGGGGCAAAAATGGACACAATATTCAAGCTTGATACAGGTCTGAATTTGGATTGTAATTAAATATTTGACATATTATAGTTTCTGAATAAATGTAGTCAATGAACTTGAAATCGGTTATATGAATTGAATTTATATTCAATTAAAGATTTCTTGCTGTTGTGCAATACACTGTGCTGTTGTGCAATACTTAATAAATCTGTTGCCAGACTATAAACAAATAAAGTTCAATTTCTTCTCAATGTCATATTTGAAATTGATGAAAATCAATAGGGAGATTACATCAATAGCTATAAATAATTCACGGTTTCATGTGAACTGCTTAAAGCATTTTTGAGTTGTTGTCCAAAGACTGGAAAATCCCCCCTTTTTTAATGAATAAAACCCCATAACTCAGAAATGTAAAATCTAAAATTTATAAAATTCTAAAGGGAGCTTATGGATTGATTATTTAGTCTTAGATGCAAGATTTTTTTATCAGTTGTTAGTGGCTTTGAACTAGCTGTCAGTAACTGCGAGTACTCTCAGATTTGTACTTAGTGTCTTTTTGTTGTTTGGATGTACAACTACCCGACCACGTCCACTTGTATTTGTATTTACCCATCTGATGAGTTTAGCCTCTTTCAACTGATTTTTATAGTTCTTTCTTATATTGTACTGTTACACCACTGTCCCAGGTTAGGGGAGGGTTGGGATCCCGCTAACATGTTTAAGCCCGCCACATTCTGTTTGTACATGTATGAGCCTGTCCCAAGTCAGGAGCCTATAAAAGTGTAATTCAGAGGTTGTCGTTTGTTTATGTGTTGCATATTTGTTATATTTGTTCATTTTTTTACATAAAATAGGCCGTTAGTTTTCTTGTTTGAATTGTTTTACATTGTCATTTCTGGGCCTTTTATAGCTGACTGTGCGGTATGGGCTTTGCTCATTGTTGAAGGCCGTACTGTGACCTATAGCTGTTAATTTCTGTGTCATTTGGTCTCTTGTGCATGTGTGGAGAGTTGTCTCATTGGCAATCATACCACATCTTCTTTTTTATATTTACATCAACAGATATAAAAAATTCACCAAAGTCAAGGTGAGACAACAAAACTTAGTTGTAAGATCTCTGAAATTTTTTACAGGGTACGAGTTTTTCTCATTGTTGGAGATTGTACGGTGACAGTAACACCTGTAACTGCTTAAACCCATTTCTTATGCACTTTAGTTTGATAAACTCACTGAATATCATACCACATCTCCTTATTTTTATATGCATTACAATTTACATGTGCATGTAATTGTAAATATATATATATCAGAACAAAATTCATTGCGTCACTTTTATTTATGCATCCTTTGGCACAATACAAGTTCTAAAATTACACAACATAAAACAACTAAATGTTATTTCAGATGAAAGTTTTGTTTCAGTTCCATTCATAGGATTTATTAGAATTTTGTATGTTTTGCCAAGTCCAATAATTCGCTCTATGTGACATAGAGACATAGTTGACTAAACCACCAGGTGTCGAACATTCAAGAATTTTCAGTGTTTCTGTTTTTATTTGATGAAAAGGTTGCCTGAGCTCTAGGAGCTTTAGGTTTTATCACGGGATATTCTGTGCTGTCAATAATAATCCAAGTCGTAGGAAACTTTAATTTGAAGTTGGATGGTGAAAAATAACTGACTAAACCACTAGATGGCCAAGTGTTAGCCTCACACCACTGTTTAGACATAAAAACAATCCATGTATACACAATATTCTTAACACTAGATTCAATCTAGAATCTAGACAGTTCAAAGTTGGTTGTATGATGCCTCAATTTCATCAAAGTCATAAAAAAACTGATTTTCAACTGACACCCTATCAATTTGAAAATATATGTATCTCAAACAATGTGCTGCTGGACCAAGTGTGGTCAAAACAAATAAAAATTTAGTATACAACTCTAAACCGGTATAAAAATGCATGGCTGTGTCATGTGTCTTCATTTCAAAATTCTCTGCTGAAAACATAGGCATTGATGGTGTTTGCGTAATTCCATCTGTGAAGCTCAACATTAGCTCGGCAGTTGGTGGTGGACAGTCATAAATCCTTTCTGCAGTATGAATGACTTCTTCAGGAAAACCAACTTTACAATCAAAACTTTCCTCTAGATTTCTACTACAATATTCATCAAGTTTAGTTCTTTTGTTTTCACAGGAAACTGCCCTGATTTTTCTTTTTGTGGTTGATTCAGTCTCTTGCTTGGTCCAGGAAAATAGGCTGGGAATTGCAGTAGACTTAAGTCTCTGTATGGTGGGTTTGCGCCCTGAAAAAGGTTATAAAACATTAGTTTTTTTTATAATTAAATGAAATTCCATTAGCAATGTATACTTTGTACTACCTGGCGAAATATTAACTAGATTTATTCATTACAATCTGGATAAAACTATGTTTGCCTGATTCAATGTATGTTATGTCAATCCAAAGGACAAACAATGAGAGACTTATGCAACAAACGTACATTGTTTGTACCTAAATAACTATAATATAGATGAGAGCATGTCATTGTTTTGTTCCTGTTAACATTGTCATTGATATTTTTCAAGAAAGTCTATGAGGCATAGCTTATGCATTCCTGTCATTACTACATTAGCATAATTACTGCTAAAATAATTCTCAGTATGATATACCTCTTGTAAGAAATCATTATAATTGTAGCAATCACCAAAAAATCTCAAACAGATCACATTGAATCGTAATCCAAAAAATTATGACGTCTTGAATTACCCACCCCCTTTTATTCTAAAACGATAATGCATGGCGATTACATATATAACTATATATTTCACAAGGAAAATAGAGTTTTACCATGAATAGTTTCCTGCACGTAGTCTTTTTCAGTAAAACGTGCCTTGCAAACAACAGCTGATTGAGATGGACTCCACGATATCATCGTGTTCTCGTCCAATCTGCGTATGGGCCATGGCGTTGATCCAACTTTTCCTTCTTTTTAAGTCATTTGGAAATGCATGTCCTCCTCTTAAATGACATCCAGGTACACAACAACAAGTACTTGGCATCGTTAATTAAAAATATAACTGAAATAGTTGCACAGTGCAGAAACCGGAAGTAGAGGAACAGGATCCGCTACCACGGCGCCACCTATTCAGGAACGATAATTTGCTACTTTATATAACTGCGAAAATAACGTTAGACGGGATCACGGGCATAAACAGAAATGCGCTATAAATTGTATAATATAATTCATGTTCAGTCGACCTTTAATTATTATATCAACGACTGAAATGATTTATAAACATCTAGATTGCAGATAACACTCGAAATTAACCCGAGCTCTTTCCACACGGAATTCAAATAATTCTAGTTTGTCAATCGGTTGACTGCTTATAATGCAAAATACTAATATATCAAAAGTTTTTAAAACTAACAAAACACAATGATCGTTTCTCTATTTCCCAATGTAAATGAAATGAAACAAAAAACATTTTATATCGCAATAAGAAGAGGAGAGAATTCAACATTTCCGGATCTACTTGGAGTCTAATGACCCCCCACGTAGATAAGTTGGATATCGCGGAAGGAAGGATTAACCCGGCAACTAGAAAGGCATTAAAGCACTGCCTTTAAAAATGTATAAATATTCATCATCTATTATTTTTTTAAACTAAAAGATTTTTGAACACTTTTCTTTTTGAATTATCAATTGAAGACAAAGAAATAATGTAATATTTTTATTATTATCCACATGTCCAGCTGAACCTCTTATTTTGCACATGACTTAACTTTTTAATTGCTGATCATGAAAAAAATCAAGTCAATATTTGACTTTGAATAACTTTTTTTCACAACTTCAGGCATAAAAAAAATAGGAACTCATCAAGTCTAAATAAAATGCCATTAAGACTGCTTTCTGTGAATGAAAAGGAAAGAAAATTTTATGATGGAAAATCTTATACATTAGAAAAATTTGTTGTTTTTGTGAAGTTTTCGTATCAATAATATTAATAAGTAACATTTTTTATAGTTTGTTCTTATGTTGTACTGTTACACTACTGTCTCAGGTTAGGGGAAGGTTGGTGCCTTCAAATGTGCTTAACACCGTCACATTCTTTATGTGACTGTCACAAGTCAGGAGGCTGTAGTTCAGTGGTTGTCTTTGGTTCATGTCTGTCATATTTGTTTTTTGTAAATTGTTTTGTCATAAATTAGGTCGTTTGTTTTCTCAATTGTGTTGTTTCATATTATTCATGTCGGAACCTTTTATAGCCGACAATACAGTATGGGTTTTTCTCATTGGTAAAGGCTGTATGGTTGCCTATAAATTATAATTGCTTACATCCACTTAATTTGAACTTGGATTGATAGTTGTCTCATTGGCAATCATACCACATCTCCTTATCTTTATATAAATGAGAGTTTTGGTTAAAATATTTCGACCAACCCATCATTACCTTTATTGAATAGGTTCATAACTAGAGACACATTGTCAAAATATTCTTTCTTGGCACTATGACTTTTAGGTACAGTATTAAAATACACCAAATAAAAAAAGATAATTTAGTAAACTTGAAATTGACTTATCACCCTTCATACTTTGGTTCACAGTACATTCTATATTTTATATTATCTTATATCATAGTTAAGAAGAGAGGGTAAAAAGAATGATGTTTTGTATGTTGATAAATACATATGTTTAGTTTTGCTGATTATTTGAATTTGATTCAATAGGAATTTCTTCATTCATCAATCATTTGACTTTGCTAAGTCTAGTTGATTTGTATTAAGTCAAACTTACAGACTTAAAACAGACATAATAACTGGCCATCATCTAATTTCAGTTCTATGAAAGATGGTAAAGGTTGTACATTGTAGCATAACTGCTATCATTCATGCCACCAAAACAGCTACAAAAGAGGAATATGAGGTCCCCTAATCCTCAAATAGTAGAAAGTTTAGAAAGAATATGGCTTTCATTTTATAGCAGTCTTCATTGTAACTTTTCCATGAAGATGTCAAAAGTTGTCTGACTAAAGAATCAACATATATTTTTGTTATGGAGAGATGTAGATAATACATTTTTGATGTCATGATTTATAGATTAAGAATTGTATTTCAAATGAGAGGTAGAATATCATAGAAGGGCGACAGCCCTGAGACGAGTTATAGATGAGAATTATTCTTGAGTTTAAGGCCCTGAGACGAGTTATAGATGAGAATTATTCTTGAGTTTAAGATTACAGATAATAAGTTTATCGCTGTTTTCCTATGCAAGGGCAATGACGTAGGCTCATGATGTCATACATTACCCTTCTACCAGACTGAGAAAAACACATATCACTTTAGTAGGGTGCTATGGAAAATTATCAAACATAGAGATTAAAGGAAAATGAGAGTAAAAAAAAGGTAATATTCAATACTTACTACTTCGTCTGCTGTAAAGTCTATGAATCCTGGTAAAATCAGGAAATCACTGAAAAAAATATGAAAATTGTCTAGAAATAATAGAATTAACTTTACACGTTTGTTTGTAACACCTGTTCCAGATGATACACAAACATTTTGACAAAGAGCACTTAAGATTTTCTTGGGTTTTTTTCTTGACTAAAAATTATCTCCTTCAAATTTCCATAGCAAAAGATCTATTTCATATATATAATGATATCTCTTGGATTTTCAAAAAGGATGTGGATAGCCAATTTTATGGCATCATAATAATTCAGGTCAATACTTGACAGACAAGAACAAATCTAGACAAATATTTCAGCACAGAAAAGACCTTTGGCAATGTCAGCCTGTTTCATAATTGGTGTTCAACATTCAGTGGCAAATATTACATGCATATCAGGACAAAAACATGTGTATTATTGTGACATGTGCATTTATGGACCTAGCTTTTGATTAGAAGACTGAGCCAGATTTTTCACATGGTATTTCACAGGGTAAACAGCAAAGACAATTCAAACATCTCTATAATGACACAGCCCTGGGACAATATTCATGTATTAGTCCAATCACAGCATGAACTGATAAATGTTCATTAAAAATTGTGAATTCTCTCCCACATGTAAAAGCTTGAAACTAAACAAAGGTGAACTGTGAAACGAAAGTGTTTGATAAGATCACTAAATCTAATCTCATTTATAGTAAACAAAAGTTGAGAGGGTGTGTTCGTCGATGTAAGTTAGTCAGTGCTCTTAATGTTCACATACAGGGTACACGACTCTATGAATGATTCATCTTTTGTTTTCTTTTTTATTGAATTGTCGTTTAATTTCTTTCGCAACTTACTTGTATGTTAAACCATCTCCGTTAGCAAAAAGTTGAGCCCCTGTAAGTCCATCATCTGGGACATAACCAGTACCACCAGTAATCAAATAATCTGCCATTCTGAAAAAAAAAGAGAATCAGATGTTTGTGCTCGCTGTTTTTCACGTTTTCTTCATCCAAACTGTCTGGTATTTCTAACTCAGAGATAACCCATATGATAACTTCATTCAACTGGGAACCAGTTGTTAAATTCTGAGTCGGTGCGAAAGGTTCAAGGGTTGAAGTTCAACATCACAGACAGTATTTTCTCCTTTTATAAGGAACACTCCCTATAAGGATGGTTCAGTATAATTTACAAAGACATAGACAAAATAATTATGACGTCTTGGAAGGTTTTTTTTAATTATGTTTCACTGACACCTTGAAAAAAATCAAAATAGAAAAATACACTAAGCAGACTCATGATCATTGATCATGATTAGCACATGTACGAGACGAGATTTTTATGGAATATGTCTTATATTATTAGTGTAATATTAATGGTATATTTTGTGTAAATATATATAGAATCTACATATTCTTAAAAATCTGTTCTCGTATCAGGCTGTGATGATTATCTGATCTCTAAAACCAAGATTTAGGTCAACTTTCATGCTTGTCATCAACCTACATGTAGTTGATCAATTCAATTCAATTCAATTCAATTCAATTCAATTCAATTCAATTCAATTCAATTCAATTCAATTCACTTCAATTCAATTCAATTCAATTCAATTCAATTCAATCTGCATGTATTTGGCCTAGAGGAATGATATAAAGATAGTGCAAAAGTCGCAGACAGGTTTGGCACTATATATATATATAATGTCAGTTTATTTGTGTAATGTAAAAGCCTACAGTACAATAATATTATTAACTTATCAAAGTACCCTTATCATCGGAGAGCAGAAAAAATACCATTTATATAATAATCGCTACAAGACCATGTCAAATCATACAATACTAAACATGATTTCAATGATTAAGTATATTAAAACATTAAACATATATATTTATAAAGAAAAGAACTGCATTGAATAAACTCCCCCCCCCCCCCCCCCCCCCCAAAAAAAAAAAAAAACAAAAAAACAAAAAAACAAAACAAAACAAAACAAAACAAAAAACAACAAACAGCAAACAGCAAAAAACAAAAAACAAAAAAACAATAACACAATGTTGTCTGCTGTAAACCAATTTTTGACATTTTAACCTATATTATGTCTGTTTGATTTGCTCACACATTGTTGTCAATATAATCCAATTCTATGCGATTGTCGACAAGTCAGAGGTTTAGCTAGCTATAAAACCAGTTTTAATCAACCATTTTCTACAACAGGAAATGCCTGTACCAAGTCAGGAATATGGCAGATGATTTCCATTCCTTTAATGTGTTTGAGCTTTTGATTTTGCCATTTGATAAGGGACTTTCCGTTTTGAATTTTCCTTCAGGAGTTCGGTATTTTTGTTATTTTTGTTATTAATATGGATTCCACTTGGAACATAAAAATTACATATAATAAAGGGGGACCGTGAACTCTTAAGTTAATTATTCATTAGTGCATCTTTTTATTCGAACAGTTGCTTAAAAAAAATATGAATTATATACATGCCGTCCGTGCCTTCGTTGCTTAAAAGCCATATTAGTTTGTTTTCATCAAACAGTATACTAAAATCCCTCTTATTATTATTTGGTTGATCAAAGTATGTCGGGTTTGCGAACTGTTGTTAAGCATGGGCATTGAATTAAAAAAAAAAGGATTTCATCTTCAACAGAATGCTTATATACCGGTAAATTAATTTTTCTTTCACTAACATCCACGTTACAATATCTCCCCCTCCTCAATGTTGAGGTTATGTGAGCTTACTCTGACTCAAGTTAACAATTTTCATTGGATAAAATGTTTTTATATTACTAATCCAGGATTCTTTGTTTACTGAATCCATTATAGCAGACTCTTGAAAAGCTTTATGTAATATATACTATATCTATCTGAATTATTTTAGATAACAACAATATCTAACCATGTTTAGAAAAAAGCCTCTGCCCTTTCAAATAAAATATTAAATTGAATTGACTTATTTTGATATGGTTATATTTATCTATGTCATGAATATGTTTATTTGTTTTAAATGCCTTTTGGGTTGATATCGAGAAAAGCAAAATGCATTTATATAGATTTTGTAGCACTGTTTCTTTTTTATGTATCAAGAAAAGACAAGAAAAGCAATTGGGTCTTGCAGTGGTATTTAAAAAGATGATTCTCTTTGTGGATTGCGTCTTGATATTAATCATTTTACATATACGCATTATAAACGAGTGGGAAGGTGCACGTCAAACATCTTTGTGTTATTGGTTTAGAGGTTAAACTCCGAACCCCGCAATACATGCATTAATAAAAGTCAAACTGTTTATAGAATCTATAGTTTATTTAATCAGGTTCATTTAAACTCATTTGAACAAAGATAACAGATTTTTTTTAAGTTTGCCTTCTTTGATGTGGGTTGCTGGAGTGCAAAATAAATATAGATGTCAATTATCTTTTGAATTCATCAATACGTGTATTTAAAAAACGACCAAATTTAAAGTTTACTTAGAGCTCTACGGAGAGGTAATATATCCGTATAAAACCTAGATTCATTGGAACTAATATTAAAATATCAATGTAGTACATAAATATATTATATATATATATATATATATATATATATATATATATAGATTAATAATGTTTGTCTGTAACAATATTACATATATACAGATTAATAATGTTTGTCTGTAACAATATTTAATCTGTATCTATTCATATGTTTTAACTTGTTTACTTGTGATAACGTGACTCTGGTCGGTGTCTTCCAAGAATGCCTACATTTTATAAAAATATATATTCCTAGACTTCCAATGAATCAAATTGAAAAGACGGTTTTTTTAATAAATGAATGTATTTTTAGTTCATTGAATCATCAGGAAAATACATTTAGTATATTTAAGTTATAAACATATTTTGCACTTTAAAGCTTTAAATAAACTTTTTTTAAATGAAAAATAAAACAACTTGCATAGGTTGTTTAAAAAACATATCAAAAGCGGAGTTTATTATATGCTTTATGTATGAAAGTTATTTTTATGTGAAGTGTTTCGTTCTTTCTCCATCAATATATAATGCACACCTCCGCATTTAAAGTTTTCAGTTTGTTTTTTAAGCAAGAGGAAATGAAATGGAAAATTTGAAATCTTTTGTTGAAGTATGAAGAAAACGTATAATAGTACTTCTATAGATTTATAATCTTATATAAGACCTTTTCTCCTGTTGATAATTCTATATATTTCCTCGTACAATTTTACCAGTCTGTCACACATGTCAGAGAATTCATTGATAAAATCTTGTTCTGTGCAGTTGTAAAAGCTGAATTTGTTACAGCTGTTTCATGGTCCAGACAGATGTATATATATGTAAATTATAAGCTGTATTGAACATGTATTTTGTTTTATTTCATTTGTATATTAGCTACAATTATACTTTATATAAATTCAAGTGTATTGTGTAAATATCTACGTACAAGATAACTTAAAAAATGAAATGAAGTTTTTACAAAAATCAGATGTGGTATGATTGTCAATGGAACAATTATCCACCAGAGACCAAATGACGTAGACTTAATCAACCATACGTCACCGTACAGCCGTCCGTAATGAACACAACCAATACCGGTATAGTAAGCTATAAAAGGCCCCGACATGACAAAATGTAAAATAATTCAGACGAAGAAACTAACGGCATGATTTATGTACAAAACAATGAGCGATAAATAAACATGATATAAAGCGACCAACGACAACCACAGACATACAGGCTCCTGACTTGTGACAAGCACAAAAAAAAAGTGGTTGTCTTGAACATAAATGCGCCGAGCGCTATATCCTTCCCTTAACATGGAACAGCGGTGTTACATCACAGCATAAGAACAAACTGTAAAAATCAGTTGGATAAGGGTTAACTCATCCGAAAAAAACACATGAATGTTCTGTAAAGTTGGTCGACTGGGATGTACAATCTTGTTATAAGCATAGTGAAACATAAATTATATAATTTCAATTAGATCAATTCATGAGTTACCAGGATATACCAGTCGGAAAATTTGGACTACCACTGAAAAAAATAAGGCATGGTAGAGGCAGACATTTGCAACATTTGCAACATTTCAACAAGACTACTGACCAATAGTTTATAAGCTCATACGTGGACGGATAATCCCAAAAAAATATTCATAGCAGCAATGTCAGAGGGAGATAACTCTCATATAAAACAACTGAAACTTATATAATTAATTTAAACTTGAGATCCACAATATTTGAGTGCTGCCCCTCTTTGATAAACGTTTATCACGGTTACCAGATAACTGAATAACGAAAAATTAGTTCCATTTTATATATTTTGCGAGAAAGTATATGCAGTATTTAGAAGGACTATCATCATAAGTTAAAAAATTACACACAAGACTCACCTTGCATTAGTCGGTGAGAATTGGTTCATTCGTTCGGTCAACCTCTTCCCTACACATGGAATAGTTTGGTGGCTTGCATGATGGTTGGTAGAATTTTCCATTGATACTTTGTATGATTCGCTTCAATTGATTCAAAAGTAAACACTAGCACTTTTCATGATCAATGTTTAAATCACTAATATTGATTTTAACATAAAAAAATACATTATTCTGTGTTTACTCCCACGGTCGTATTCTAGTACTACTGTACCATGTACTGTTAATGTATATGTTTTGTCATCGGAACTCCATCAAATAGCAGGTGATAGTATTTTATAAACATGTATATTATGACTATCAACTGACAACAGGTCCAGTGATCAAGACTAACCAGATCGATACTATACAGCGCAAGTCTGAAAGATGTTCTTCGATCAATACTATCATGGAACTACAAAAATCTATGATTTTCTCACATTTTCCCAGAAACTGATACAAACTGTAGCTATTAATTGGAAATTCAAAGGGTACTTGTTGAGGGAGTAAAAATGTCAATACACTTTTGATTCATGTAGGTAATATGTTGTTCACGCCTATTGACATCATAAAAATTACTGTAGAAATTTACGAGATACCTACGTATTCAATGACATGTAAATATTTTACATTTAGGGATTCCGGTTATTTTAAGTTAGTTCAACTTGATATGCATGACCATATATACTTACATTATAATTAATTGAACAAGACACTGAATAAAACTTATTACAAAAAAGTAAATGCATATTGGTTAGAAACAAGCAAAGACATACCAAGTAATTGTAAAATATATAATTAAATGAGTACTTAATTCTTATCAATGACACTGTCTAATGAATCTTGCAGAAGTTGAGATGGCAGTTCAGACGAGAAAGCGAAGATACCTAAATGTAATTAGAAATCTGAATGTGTTTTTTAATGAGGGGAGAGAATGGTGTGTGTGTGTGTGTGTGTGTGTGTTGGAGGGATTTCCTTTTTAATTTAAAAAACAAATTATGGTAATCCGGCAGTATTTGTGAGAGACTAACAAGTTTCTAAAAAGGTAAGTCCGTTAGGAGAAAGAATCATTTCAAATGCATTCGATAATGTAGCCCTTGCTGTTGAACTACATGGGATGTAATAGAACTTCCTTGATTTTAAATATATCCTCTTATAACGTTTTTGTTCTGTAAGCAACATTGCAGTCACAAGTAGAATGAGAAAACTCGTCTTAATTATTGTTTTTACGACAAATATTATATTTACAGATAAGATGCTGACCACGACTATATTTTCTTTAATGCATTCAAAAGTCTGTGGTATCTGTAAATAAAGGCAACAGTAGTATACCGCTGTTCAATAGTCATAATTTAATTAAGCAAAAACAAATCCGGGTAACAAACTAAAACCGAGGGAAACACATCAACTGTAAGAGGAAAACAACGGAACAACAGAAACACTGAACTACAACAAAAGCAAACATAGAAACGGACTGTCTGATAACAACTGCCATATTCCTGACTTGGTACAGGACATTTTAAGAAAAAATGGTGGCTTGAACCTGGTTTATGGCTAGCCAAACCTCCCGCTTATATGGCAATGTTAGAAATACCGTTAAAATGACAACACTACGTGACAGGAATACAATACAAACAAACGCATGAACACTCAGCACAGAGAAATACATAAATAAATTATATAATAGTACATTACAACATGTAAACCGCAGAATAACAACGGACACCTCCCATGAATTTACGACAGTAAACCTCAAACGAAATATAAACTGCGCATGACATGAATGGATCAACGTCACAAAAAGTGACGAATTTTTTTTTGACGTTTATATTATCACAGGAAAATTTCTAAAAATAAAATAGATTTGTTTAAACCTGTCATAGAATGCAAGTCTGTGGTATCTGTAAACATTTTAAAGCATTCAAAAGTCTGTGGTATCTGTAAACCCGTTAAAACATTCAAAAGTCTGTGGTATCTGTAAACCTGTTAAAGCATTCAAAAGTCTGTGGTATCTGTAAACCTGTTAAGTATTTTTGTGTTAATGCAAGATCGAAGTCAGCATCATTAGAACCGCATATTCCAGCAAACCGTAAAGGGTGTGAAACATTCGTGATCGGATGTGACAAGAGGAACATTTCAATCCAAAAAGGAAAGTTTGTTATGTCAAAGTTGAAATCGTCTCTTTTGTCGTATATTTTAGTTACCAATTTTCCGTTTTGTACCATTACTGCAGTTATGGCCAAAATTGACAATTTTTAGTTTAAATTAATACACTAAGCATGCAATTTTTAGCCATAACTGCAGTAATGGCAAATTTTGCACAGTTAAGAACCCATAGGACAACGTCATGGAAAATAACGAAAAAAGAAGACAAGACAGTCTAACAAAAAACACAATATAGAAAACTAAAGACTGTGTGTTATCTCAGGTGCTCCGGAAGACTAGTAGAGTTTTATTATCAACATACCCTCATTGTCAGTCAAGATATATATACATGTATATGAACTGACTTAACTGTATCTGTGGTATCTTTTATTTCAAGTTCGACTGGATAGATGCGTACAGCAGTCACAAAACGTTGAATTAATTAGTGATTTACAGCGAAACGTGAAGTTATAGCTAAATGAAGGAACATAAACTCAAAATCTGAACAGGATACATGTCTACCTTAAGAAAAAACTGTTGAATTATTATCAATCGACATTTACACCACGTATTGTTTGCTGTTGACACTGTAGGGATGTATGCTAAGTTATTGAAACGGAGGGGATCTGTGCTGTATTGTTAATACGGTAGGGGATGTTTTTGTTGTTGATACTGTAGGGACCTGTTCTATGTTGTTAGTGCCACAGAATATGTTCTGTGTTGTTGATATTGTAGGGATCTGATCTTTAAGCGGTAGAGATCTGGTCTGTATTGTTCATATCATAGGGATCTGATCTTTGTTGTTTAAGCGACAGAGATCTGGTCTATATTATAGATATCGTAAGGATCTGATCTTTATTGTTTAAGCGGTAAAGATCTGGTCTGTATTATAGATATCGTAAGAATCTGATCTTTATTGTTTAAGCGGTAGATATCTGTTCTGTGTTGTTGATATCATAGGGGTCTGATCTTTGTTGTTTAAGCGGTAGATATCTGTTCTGTGTTGTTGATATCATAAGGATCTGATCTTTGTTGTTTAAGCGGTAGAGATCTGTTCTGTGTTGTTGATATCGTAAGGATATGATCTTTCTTGTTTAAGCGGTAGATATCTGTTCTGTGTTGTTGATATGGCAGGGATCTGATCTTTGTTGTTTAAGCGGTAGAGATCTGTTCTGTGTTGTTGATGTCGTAGGGATCTGATCTTTGTTATTTAAGTGGTAGAGATCTGTTCTGTATTGTAGATATCGTAGGGATCTGATCTTTCTTGTTTAAGCGGTAGAGATCTGTTCTGTGTTGTTGATATCATAGGGGTCTGATCTTTGTTGTTTAAGCGGCAGATATCTGTTCTGTGTTGATGATATCATTGGGATCTGATCTTTCTTGTTTAAGCGATAGAGATCGATCTGTTTAGTTTAAACATATTTTATTTACTCAAAGTGAAATGGATTGGACACAAGTAAACCATACTTATGAAGTCCGCTCCGAATTAATATATATAACAATACAATATTGATATGAGCATGCAGTTTTCAAAGTATACAATACTTTACAAGTCTAGCTTTGAAAAAAGACGAAACAATAATAACGGAAAAATGGGTATGATGATAATGTGAATGTACCGCAAATACACTATTCAGTACCATATGACAAGATCTGTTCTGTGTAGTTGATAATGCAGAATCTGTTCTTTGATGTTAATACAACATAGATCGTTTCTTTGATGTTAATGCAACATAGATCGTTTCTTTGATGTTAATGCAACATAGATCGTTTCTTTGATGTAAATGCAACATAGATCGTGTTGTTTATGCCACAGAGATATGCACATTGTTGTTAAAGCAACAAAGATCTGATCACAGAAAACTTTCCTTTGTTGTTAATTTCAGTGAAGACTGTTATATGTTGTTGTTATCGTAGGGATTTGTTCTGCGTTGTTCTTATCGTAGGGATTTGTTCTGCGTTGTTCTTACGTAGGGATTTGTTCTGCGTTGTTCTTATCGTAGGGATTTGTTCTGCGTTGTTCTTATCGGAGGGATTTGATCTGCGTTGTTTTTATCGGAGGGATTTGTTTTTGTGTTGTTGTTATCATAGGGATTTGTTCCGCGTTGTTGTTACCGCAGGGATTTGTTCTGCGGTGTTGTTATCGTAGGCATTTGTTCTGCAGTGTTGTTATCGCAGAGATTTGTTCTGCGGTGTTGTTATCGTAGGCATTTGTTCTGCAGTGTTGTTATCGCAGAGATTTGTTCTGCGGTGTTGTTATCGTAGGCATTTGTTCTGCGGTGTTGTTATCGTAGGGATTTGTTCTGCGTTGTTGTTATCATAGTGATCGTAGGGATTTGTTCTGCGGTGTTGTTATCGTAGGGATTTGTTTTGTGTTGTTATTGTAGGGATTCGTTCTGCGTTGTTATCGTTGGGACTTGTTCTGCATTGTTTTTATCTGAGGGATTTGTTTTTGCGTTGTTGATACCGTATACTAGTTTTCTATTATTAGGTGTTAATGCCACAGAGATCTGTTCTTTGTTAATCTTATAGAAACCTGTTCTTTGTTATTAATGTCACAGAGATCTGTTCTGCCACAGATATATATTTTTTGTTGTTAATGCCACAGGTCTGTTTCGGTTTTCTATTCTTCGAGTCTCGGCGTAGCAAATACAGCTTACATCAAAACTACACCAAGAAACAGGAAAATATTTACATTATGGTAGGTTTTATTTTTACAATATTAGAACATATTAATTTGAAATAAATTGAATTTAAACAACATTTTACTGAATCAAAGCACTATACGTCATAGTAGGCTGGAATTGTCCTGCTAACACAACGTCTTCTATGGCTAGCATTGACCTAGTTGTATAAAAGAATAAACGAAGACTATGTCTGAGGACACGAATGCCCCCGCTCAAGCTTTGCAATTTTCCAAGTTCTAAAGAGGCATAACTCTAGAATGGTGAGTGACCCACTGCCCAAATTCGAACTCTGTCTGCGAGTTTTGGCTCTTAGCATTGTGTATGCATAACATTTGCACGAGGAAAACTAAAGTAAGAGTGCAGAAACGATGGGACGGACGGAAGGAAAGACAGTCGAAAGGATGGTCAAGGGTAACACTTAATGCCGCCGTTGAAATACGGGGGAGGGGGGGGGGGGGGCAAAATTAAAAAGAGACCCACAAATATTATAACAGGTAAAATCACCACTGTTTCA